TATTGGCTTCGGTCAAGCAGTCATCGTTCTGGACTGACTGCGCGAGCACGCTCCACGTGTATGTCTCCCACGGCACCAGGTACGTATTGCCCCCCTGGTCGGTGTCGGAGCCGATGCCGACGCGCACCTCCGTATTCGACCAAGTCACTGCTGGTGAGCCGGTAAACTCCCCCACGCAGAGGAAGCCCTCTGGGTAGCACTCGGTCGTGGATGGGCCACAGTTGCTTAAAGGAGTCCCCGCGGTTTTGTCGTAGTTCAGGTCCGCACTGGTGGCCTGGCTCGTGCAAGTGAACTCGTAATCCTTGTCCGAAGCGCCGTCCGGACCGCCAGTACGACGCAGGATGTACTTCTTGATCGCAAAGCCGTTGTCGCGCGGCACGTGCCAGCGGAACACGCGGTGGCGCCCATCGTTCTCGGTTGAGAAGCTTACAAAGCCCGAGATCTTGTCGGGCGCCGTCTTCTCCTGCAGGCGAATCTCCTGCCGGTAAAATGTGTTTGAGCTTGGGTCCGGTTTATTGTTCGAGTCGGAGGCGGCCCACACACGGAATCGGATGTACCAGCCACGGTCGACGTCAAACGTCTTCTCGCAGCAAGTTGTCGAGACACCGGAACCAGCCACGGTGCAATCTGTGCTGCACGAAGTCGCACTGATGTAACTGTTTGGATCATCAACCGAGTAGTAGTTGTAACCGCTGCTGCACTTCTCCGAATTGGTCGCTCCATCAGTGTTGGTGCACCTCTTCACCTCCCAGAAGTAGCCGCCGGGGGCTGTCCCGGCGCCCGCCCTCCAGTACACCGTCATCGTGCGGCCATTCACGCTGGAGGAGAAGTCACCGATAGTGTTCGCTTCGGGCGCAAGCGGTGCGGACAGCTGCGCGGCGGCTGGAGCTGCCATCGCCAACGCAAGAACGCCCGCTCGCCAGGAGAAACGCCCTGTCGCACTGCATGCGTGGCTTGGTTGCAACCAACCGCACAGAATCAGCGGCAGCAGCAGCTGTCGCACCGTCGCCCGTGGTACGGCCAGCATCAGATCGGCGCCGCCGAGGCAGGCCAAGGCTCGCCTTGTGCTCAACCTCCGAGTCGCTAAAAGTGCTCAACCGCGCCTCGCCAGCTGAAGGCGTCCCAGCAAGGCATCTTTGCAAATTCTTTTTTCGCTCTTCGTCCGAGCCTGGCTGTTCTTCACCTTTCTTCCTTCCTACCTACCTCGGCCAAACTACTATAGCAATCGCTCGTCCATAGAGCTCTAGCGGCTCCGGGTCGTTCTTGATTTTCTTTTCCCCCCTCAGGGCTCTCATCTGCGCATCCACAATAACTACAGTCTACACTCTACACGCCGCGAAATTACTCCGCTCCGCAGCCCCCCCCCCCCCACACCCCCCCCACCAACTCTCCCCGCGTACGCCCTCGGCCTCGCGCAAACGAGGGGAGACAAGATCGCGCCGCCGCTAGTCCTCCTTCTTCGAATCCTCCCCGCCCTCCGCCGCATCATCGGGCAGCGGCACGCTCCCAATCAGCACGATGAGTGCGCCAAACCCGAGCAGGACAGCGAGCGCGGCCAGCGAGTAGGGCCTGGGGGAAGACGCGTCGAGGTGTGAGCCACGTTGTGGACGTGCCGTGGTGCGTGTGTCGAGGGGCGTGGCGGTTCGCGGGGAGGGGGTGCGTGGCGGGCGAGGGTAGCGAGGACGCGTCTCGGACGGGCCGCGCACGGCAAAAAGTCGAGCAGGTGCAGCGGCAGGAAGGGCAGCGCGTCGCCGAGCCGCCTCCACAGCCGCGCGGGGAGGCCCCACATGCCGGTGTACTCGAAGCGGAGGGCGGCGGAGTTTCCGCCCTCGCGCAGCAGCTTCCGCACAGTCGCCTCGTCGTGCGGCCCCCGCCCGACCAGGAAGGAGCGCGTGGAGCCGCCCCGCAGCAGCAGCACCAGCGGCAGCTCGCCGCGCTCGATGCCGACCACCTGTGTCCGAGATTAGCCGAGATTAGCCGAGATTAGCCGCGCTCGATGCCGACCACCTGTGCGTCTGTGTGGCACGGCCACGTGCGTGCTTCAGTCCGACCCGCGCGCAGAGGGCCGCGAGCGGGCGGCGACCTCCGTGAGTGACCGGGAGGCGTCTCTCTCGGGGAGGCGTCTCTCTCGGAGGGGGCTCGGAGGGGGGCTCGGAGGGGGTCTGTAGGCACCTCTGTCAGAAACTTGCCCCAGCGCAGCCCGTCCAGCAGGCCGAAGCGGTACGCGTTGCCGCCCGTCTCGTCGAGGGGCGGCCGCGAGTAGGCGATGTCGCGCAGCGCCGCGCCGAGCCCCTCGCTGCCGTGCGGCCCTTGCACCGTCACCTCGGCCTCGCACGCCGGCGGCTCCTTGGCGGCGGGGAGGGCGGCGGGGAGGCATGCGTGTGCGAGGGAAAGTGGCGGCGAGGAGAGAGGGGGGGGCGAGAGGGTCCGGCGGGGGAAGCGGCGGCGAGGGCGGCGCCTTTGCATCGTCGGAGGCGGAGGCGCAGGCCGGGTCCGGGTCGACCACCGCCAGCGCGAGGGAGATGTCCTGCGGTGCGGGGTGCGGGGTGCGTGGTGGGGTGCGGTGAGGGGAGATGCAGAGGGCGGGGAGGTGCGGGGGGCGGGGAGATGCGGGGGGCGGGGAGATGCGGGGGTCGGTGCGGTGCTCGTCCTTGGAGAGCATGCCGAAGAAGTTGTGCCGCTCGACGACGGACAGGGCGGGGAACCGCTCCGCCTCGAGCCAGGCGCGCAGCGCGGCGGGCAGCGCCCCGTCGCTCGGAGGCGCAAAGACGGCGGAAGGCTCGCCTGCGGGCGGGCGGGCGCCAGGTACGTCGCGCCCGGCGCGGGTGTCGGCCGCCGCCGGGTGGGCGGGGTGGGGCGGCGGGAGCTCTCTGCTGCGCGAGCGACCGGGTGCGGTGCGTCGAGGTTCACGGCGGCTGCAGGCTGGTGGGTGAGCACAACGTTGGGCCGAGAGGAGTTGCAGTGCGGCGGTGCTGCCCAGGGCTCCGACTCTCTCCTCTCTCTGCTCATGGCCCGCCGCGAGACAGCTTGACGACCGAGCCCCGGTGCGGCGCCAGCTGCGAGGGAAGGTCGGGACCGGCCGCGGCGGCGAAGGTGGAGACGAGCTGCAGCTCCGCCGCCGCAGCCTCAAACTCGGCCGCCAGCGGGTCCGCCGCACCCGCCCCTGCGCGGTGCGTCGGCGGTGCGTCGGCGGTGCGTCGGCGGTGCGTCGGCGGTGCGTCAGAGGGAGAGGCGCGGTGACGGTGCGTGCTTGTGCTTTGCGGCGTGTGGACTGGGATAGGGCGGCGGACCGGCGAGCGCAAAGACGACGGCGCCGTCGGGCTCGAGGAGCTTGTCGAGCGCCGCCTGTCCGCCCTCTCCCAGCTGCGTCACCGGCGCGGACTTGAGCTTGCGGATCGTCTCGCGCAGCCCGTCGGCTGTACGCGGCGCCTTCATCTCCCAGCGGGCGCCGTCGCGGAAGAGGAGGACGGTGGGGTAGCCCTTGACGCCTTGGCCGTCGCAGAGCGAGGAGTGCTCGGTGCAGTCCACCTTGCCGACCCGCACACCCTCGCCGAGCTCCGTGGGCTTGATGTCGGCGGCAAACTTTTCTGTGCGTGGCGGCGGGAGGGGAAGTGAGTGCAGCGAGGCTCTCTCTCGTCCCGTGCGCGAGCTGGTGGCGAGGGAGAGGGCCTCGCAGCGACATGTGGGGCGGAGGGCGAGGAGGAGACGCTGGGCGTCTTGCACACACCGAGGACTGGCGCAAGCTTCTTGCAATGGCCACACCACGGCGCGTAGAACTTGACCAGCCAGAGGGAGGGCGAGCCCTGCACCGAGGACTGGAACGATGCGTCCGTCAGGGTCTGCACCTCCTCCGCGGCGACGACCGCCGCCAGGATGGCCGCGAGGAGGGCTCGGCGTAGAGCGACCAACATGCCTGTGTTACGCGGTGGTGCGACAGCGTGTAGCCAACGAGTTGGTCGGCAAGCGGTGGCGCCGCCTGGTCAGGGTGTGCTTTTTCTTTCTCCTTTTTTACCCTTCGGAAGGGGGTTTTTCGCCGGGCCGCGGCCGGAGCAGGCGATGCTCTTGCCCACGAGCGCGCGCACGGCTGGGCTCTCCCGGCCGAGGTAGGTGCAGAAGATCTCGCGGAACTCGCGCGCCTCGCACCGGTTCTGAGCCGAGGGCCATGAGCTCACCCACGCGGACGAGAACGAGTCGACGGCCAGCCACGCCTCCCGCCGCGTGTCGCCGTGCGGCAGCCCGAGGATGCTGCGGCTGAGCTGGTTGGGCCAGTCTTGGAGAACCCTGTCCACGCCTGAGGATTCTGCACTAGCGATTCTGCCACCCAAGACAGGATTCTGTATGCGGAGGCTCGAGAGGGATTCGTGTCCGTTTCTTCTGATTCTCACTCTCCTTTTCCGGTTCTGCCTACTCGATCTGATTCTGCCCGTCCCCTTTCCACGGTACGCGCGCGACCCGCCATCCTCCTCCGGCACCAGCCACCATGCCGACTGGCGCGCCCAACGCCTCCCGCCACGGGCAGTGCGAGAGGTTGTACTCGGGAGAGAAGCACTCGAGCTTCGAGACCTGCATCTCGAGGTTGAGCGACGCCTTGACCGCCTCGCCAAAGCGCTTGACCGCCGGGAAGACGGCGGCCGCCGGTCCTAGCGCGAAGATGTCGTCCATCTCCGCCCAAGCCCCGCCACCGAACGGCCTCAGCTCGGCGTCGAGGGCAGCCAGCTCCGGCTGGATGGCGATGCAGAAGGCGCCGCTCGATGGGGGCCCGCCCTGCTGCGTGCCGGTCGCCGAGTCGCCGCCACGCGAGGTCTCAGCGCGGCACGTCTGCCCCTCGAGGTGGTGCTGCTCAAAGAGCCGCGTCCGCTGGGGCCCGACGAGCAGGCTCGTCGCGGACATGAGCGTCGCGTGAAGAAGCGGCATTGAACGGCGCACGGCCACGTCCCCCGTCCCTTCACGTCGAGCTGGCGTTTTCTTTTTCGCTTTTACGCCTGAACCCGGTCGCGAAACCCGGAGTAAGGGTGGCGCCATGGGTTACTACGAGACGCTCGGCGTCTCGAAGAGCGCGACGCCGGAGGAGATCAAGAAGGGATGTGCGCCGCCGCGCGCTCTGCCTCCCGACGCCACGCTCCGCCCGTCGCAAACGCCGTGCCGCCCGCGCACAGATCGCAAGATGGCCATGAAGTGGCACCCAGACAAGAACCCCGGGGACCAGGAGGCGGAGCGGCGGTTCAAGGAGGTGGCTGAGGCGTACGAGGCGCTCTCCGACTCAAACAAGAAGGAGATCTACGACCGGTACGGCGAGGCTGGACTAAAGCGCGGCGGCGGCGGCGGCGGGCCGTCGGCGGGCTTTGGCGGCGCGGGAATGCACGGCATCGACCCGAACGAGCTGTTTGCGCAGATGTTTGGCCAGATGGCGGGCGGCGGCATGGGCGGCCCCGGCGTGCGCTTCGGGTTTGGGCCGGGCATGGGAGGCGCCGGCAGCCGGCGCTCCCAGCGTCTCCCTCGCGCCGCGCTCCCTGCGCCCTGCGGCAGCAGGCTCTGCTCAGCCCCGCCCCCCTCGCCCTCTCGCCCTTCGCCCCCTGCAGGAGGCGGCATGGCCGGCGGAGACCTCAACGAGATGCTGCAGGGCCTGTTTGGCGGACAGATGGGTGGCCGGGGCCGCGGAGGGAGGGGAGGGCGGGGAGGGCGCGGCGGGCGCGGCGGGCGCGGCGGGGGCGCCCGGCGCGCGCCCGTCGCCGTCGTGCGTCCGATCCGCTGCTCGCTCGAGGAGCTGTACAGCGGCGCGCGAAAGTCTGCGAGCCACGAGGGGCGCTCGTTTGTGGTTGACGTCAAGCCGGGCTGGAAGGAAGGCACTCGCATCACCTTCGAGGAGGCGGGCGTCTGCTTCCAGCTGGCGCAGGAGGAGCACCCGCGCTTCTCGCGGCGCGGGCACGACCTCGCCGCCGTCGCGTTCTGCGGCCTGCTGGACCTCTTGGTGCGGGGCTCGTCGCATGAGGTGCGCACGCTCGCCTAGAGGACTGCACCCGCGATAAGACTAGAGGACTGCACCCGCGATAAGACTGAGTATTGAGTCGTCCATCTCGTCGCACAAAGGTGCGCACGCTCGACTCGCGCACGCTGAGGGTGCGGCTGCCTCCGCGCCGGCTGTCCGTCAAGGTGTCTGGCGAGGGGATGCCTCTCTCCCGCCCCGAGGCGGGCAGGCAGCGCGGCGACCTCGTGCTGAACCTCTTTGCCGACTGGGCGGTCGCCGCCGACCAGGCCCGCCAGTGGGGCCGCACCGCGCTGTGGGTGGGCGGCGCGCTCCTCTTCTTCACAAACACCTCCCTCTTCTTCGGCCTCGTCTTCGCGTACTCCTTCTTCGCGAACGCGAACGGCGGCCGCGCAAACTAGCGCCGACGCGCCGCAAAGCCGCGCCGGCGGGGCGTCCGCACTTCGTGTGTCGTCACGCACTTGGCGTCCACCCCCTCGCTGTGGCCGTGGCCGCCTGGCCGGGCAAAGGGCTGGGTGTGGGTATTGCGGCGTCCGTGTTGTCTCGCACAGCTCTGCCCTGTTTTGTGTCTCCACGCGTCGCTGTTCCTCTGTTGTTTTTATTTTACGGTGTGTGCGATGTGTGTGCGCGCGCGGCACAGCCAGCGTGCGTGCCAAAAAAATCCGGCGCCGCCGCGTGGCGGCGTGGGGCCGACGGGCGACGCGCACAATCATCTCGGGTCACGCGACGGAGGAACAAGCCTCCTAATATCTGTGTGCTGTGTGCAGGGCGTGCAGCGGCCCTGCCCCTGGACAGCGATTTGTGTGTACTATCTTATTACCCCGGGAGTGGGCAGCCCAGCGGCGCGCCTCCGGCGCCGCAGTACTCTGTCGGCGCCGCCCCGGGCCGCGGACGCAGCACCCCGTCGGCGCTTCTGCGGAGGGGCGCCGGCTGCTGCGGCAGCGGCGCGGCGGGCGCCTCGCGCACGCTGACCCCAAAGGGCCACGCGGGCGGGCAGACGGCGACGAGGCGCGCGAGCCCGCCGGCGCCGCCCTTGATCTTTGCGAATCCGATGGAGAGGAGGGCGCCGGCGGGCGGGACGAGGTGCAGGTTGGCGGCGCCCTCGACCTGCAGGTAGTTGTGGTGCATCAGCCACGCCTCCCCCTCGAGCGTCGGCGTCGAGTCCGTGTCAAGCGGCTCGTGCCCGTGCAGCAGGATGGAGCGGTTCTGGTGCAGGAACTGGAGCGCCGGCAGCCCGACCCCGGGGAAGACGGCCGGCATCTTCCCCTCGACGAGGTACTCGCCCCACCGCCGCGACCAGTCCGAGCGGAAGAGCACCGCTGCTCCTGCCGGGACCCGCCCGTGCTCCGCCTCCCACGCGAGCACGTCGGCGACGCTCGCCGTGTAGCCCGGCTCCGCGGCCACCTTGCGCGAGATGTCGACCACGACGAGCGGGCGGAGCGTCACCGTCGGGGGAAGATCGGAGATTGTGGCGCCGAGCTCATTCCAGTGCGCCTACTGACAGCACAAGCCGTGAGCTAGGCGACGCCCACCGCGTGTGACTCCAGGCTACTCGCCGGCGGGTCGAGCTGCGTGCCGATCTGGTCAGTCGCGAGCGAGACCGCGCCGGCGACGAAGCCTTGCGCAGCGTAGCCGTACGTTGCGCCCTCGGCGATGAAGCCTGGTGTGGCGACTCTTGCGACGGCAGCGCCAAACTTGGGCTGGGAAAAGCCGTCCCACAGCGGCATGCCAGGCTCGATCGCGTGCGTGAGATCCACATACTTTGCCTCGGCCAGGTGTGCGTCGTACGCCTCCCAGAGGCTCCGGGCCGCCGCCGTGGAAGCTGTACTGGTGCCGGTGCCAGCGGCAGGCGGCTCAGCGACGGTGTTCCGCGACGCCCAGAAGGCCGAGAAGGAGATGATCGCATTTGCTGCGGTGAAGACCAGCATGGCTGCCAAAAGCGCCGGCGCGGGCTGCGTGGGCTGGCTGGAGGAGCGCATGGCAGCTGCTCCGGAGTAAGGCGCGCGATACACGAAGGTGCTCTCTCGCGGCGAGGCACTCCCGCTTGCTGTGTTTTCTTTCTTTCTTTCTTCCTCGGGAGAGATTTTTAGAAGTTTGTTCTTGTCGGTCTTGCAAAGTTTCATACCTCACCCAGCCCAGGACCCGAATCCAGACCTTCCCAACAATAAAGGCTGGGGCGCTGTTATTCACACCTCTGAAAAGGCCGTTCAAACGCACCCTCTCGCCCCATGCAGCCGGCTGCTTGCTGGTGGCACTAGGGCCGCTGGGACGCGCAAGAAGGATGCGCGGCCGAGCCGCTGGCTGGCGCCGCTTGAACGTCCGAGACGGCCGCAGCACAGGCCATCGCTCAAACAATCGGCCGGTGCTAGGGCCGCCGCAGTCGCCGGTGGGCCCACGGCGATGGGCCTGGTCGATTTCGGCAGACGGGAGGGCAGCAGGGCCGCGTGCGGGGCCAGGGCTCGGATTGCCCCTAGGAGCGCACGAGGTGCCCGCTGACGGTCCCCAGGCTTTATACCAGTGTATGGCGTCCGCCGCCCGCAAGCGCGCCCGCACCAGCGGCGGCGGCGAGGTTGTGGCCGTGCCGATCGCGGATGGCTTCGAGGCGCCCATCTTTGGCGCGCGCCTCGTCGGAAAGGTCTCCACGCTGGCGCTCGAGGGCGAGGACGGCCCTCTATCGCTCGGTCAGGTTGGCATTGCGAGCGATCACGCGGGCGCCTGGTACGTCGCGACCGAGGACTCGCTGCTGCAGGTCTCGGCGGCCGGGCGCGTGCGCCGCGTGGCAGCCTTGCCGGCAGGAGACTCCTACACCGTCGCTGCCAGCCCGGACGCGAGCGCGCTGTTTGTGGCGGACTGGAACAACAACAAGATCTGGCGGGTGGAGGTTGCGACTGGCGCTGTGACGACGCTCGCGGGCAGCGGCGAAGAAGGCGGCGCCGATGGCGTTGGTGACGCGGCGGAGTTCTGCGGCCCACGCGGCCTTGCCATTAGCCAAGACGGCGGCGCGCTGTATGTGGCGGATTGCGGCAACAACAAGATCCGGCGGGTGGAGGTGGCGACTGGCGCGGTGACCACGCTCGCGGGCAGTGGCGAGTTTTGCGACGCGGACGGCGTGGGCGACGCGGCGGAGTTCTGCGGCCCACGTGGCCTTGCCCTCAGCCCGGATGGCGGCGTGCTGTTTGTGGCAGACGATGAGAACCACAAGATCCGGCGGGTTGAGGTGGCGACGGGCGCTGTGACAACGATCGCGGGCAGCGGCATGGAAGCGCCGATGGCGTGGGCGACGCGGCACAATTCTTCTACCCAGGTGGCATCGCCATCAGCCCAGACGGCGGCGCGCTGTTTGTGGCGGACTTCAGCAACCGCAAGATCCGGCGGGTGGAGGTGGCGACGGGAGAGGTGACGACGATCGCGGGCAGTGGCACAGAGGGCAGCGCTGACGGCGGGGGCAACGCGGCGGGGTTCGACTGCCTAGAAGAAGTCGCCATCAGCGCCGACGGCAGCACGCTGTTGGTCAGTTCGGACGGTGGCCTCCGCCAGGTCTGCGTGGCGGCGCCTCCTCCGCCTCCCTCCTTTGCCCCGATCGTCGTTCCGCCCTCCACCATCCTGGCTGACCTCGCAAAGACGCGGGGCGACGCCACCCTCCCAGAGGGGAAAGTCACCTTCCTGGTCGGCGACGACGAGGAGCGCATCGAGCACGTGAGCAAGTGCGTCCTCTGCGCCCGGTCCCCGGTCTTCCTGACCATGTTTGGCATCGGCATGAAGGAGCGCGACGCCGCCGAGGTCACGGTGTCGCACACCGACTTCGCCAGCTTCACTGCCCTCGTCCGCTACCTCCTCACCGACCAGTTCGACCTCGGCGAGGACGAGGGCGGCAGGGCGCAGCGCGCGCTCGACCTGCGTGAGCTGGCGCAGATGTACCAGGTGCCGCGCCTCGAGCTGCTCTGCGCGCAGGCGCTGCAGGAGAGCGTCGCGCCGGCGACAGCCGTGCCGCTGCTCGAGGCGGCGCACACGATGGGCGACGGGCGGCTCCTCGCGCAGTGCCGCCGCTTCGTGGCCGACCACGCCGCCGAGGTGCGGGCGAGCGGCGGCGTGGAGCAGCTGCGCGACTTTGGCGTGGCCAAGGGGCTGCTCGGCGACGCGCTCGACCAGGTGGCAGAGCTGAAGGGCGCGATGCGCGCGCTCCGCGTCGCGGAGAGCTAAGAACGCCCGATCGAGTACCAGAGCAGTGTGACACAGTGACAGCGCAGCGCGCCGAGTACAGGGAGCGCGCTCCTGCGCAGCTCCTGCGACACCGTTGTTGATTCCCGGTGCGTTCGTACGTCAGTAATCACACGCACTCCCTCCTCTTGATTTGATTTGCAATCAATACCCCACCCAGCCCTTGTCCCGAATCCAGCCGTGCCACGCGGAAATCCGGACCCTGCCCATCGCTTGGCCGCGAGGCCGTCGACAAACCAGCTACGAGCTAGCGGCGATTCAGAAGTGAACAACACCGCCAATCATCCACTCCAGAGCGTGCGCGGAAGCACGGCGGCGAGAGAGCAAGCGACGGTGCAATAGAGATGCCGCGCCGCAAGCCAGTGAAGCCGGTGAAGCCCTCATGTGACAAGTGCGGTGAAGACCTGGAGGGGCCGTGCCCGGCGAGTTGTTTTGCGCTGAATGCGATCCGCTCGGCGGCTATTGCAACGGCTGCGAGAAGCTCTTCTGTGGCTGCTACGCCGGTCGCATGCAGATGGTCTCTTGGGATCGCCACCTCATGGATGATTGCGAGGAGTGCGAGCAGGGTTCGTGATTTCACATGGAAACAGCGAATCGGTTTCACTTTCACTTTCACTTCACATTTCATGTGAAACGAAATTTCACTTTTTCGAGCGAGTGTGAAGAGTCGTGTGAACGTGATTGATGAAGGATGCTCCCACCGAGTTCCGACACTCTGACACTCACTTGCACAGGTGTTGGCTCCCAAGCAGCAGCCAAGATGAAGGAGGCTGGAGATATTGGTCTCGCTGAGCTGATGTGTACACTAGACCTATATGAATCTCATGGCATGCTGTGGGCGAATACGGTGCTGATGGTGGGATGAACTCTCTCAGCAGTCGAGAGTCGACTCTCGACGCATCGGGAGGGCGGCCGCGGCGGTGTAGGGGCGGCGGCGAGCTCCCGGTTGCAAATACTCGCCTCACAGTCCAAGATGGCGGCTCGCGCCCCCATCCGCGCACCAGCGTGCCACTCTAGTCCCGCCTGCCGCCCAGATACCGAGGGCGGGGCGCACTCTTCGACTTGGGCTATTATTTGCCACCGGGAGGGCGGCCGCGGCGGTGTAGGTGCGGCGGCGAGCTCCCGGTTGCAAATACTCGCCTCACAGTCCAAGATGGCGGCTCGCGCCCCCATCCGCGCACCAGCGTGCCACTCTAGTCCCGCCTGCCGCCCAGATACCGAGGGCGGGGCGCACTCTTCGACTTGGGCTATTATTTGCCACCGGGAGGGCGGCCGCGGCGGTGTAGGGGCGGCGGCGAGCTCCCGGTTGCAAATACTCGCCTCACAGTCCAAGATGGCGGCTCGCGCCCCCATCCGTGCACCAGCGTGCCTCTCTAGTCCCGCCTGCCGCCCAGATACCGAAGGTGGGGCGCACTCTTCGAGACTTGGGCTATTATTTGCCACCGGGAGGGCGTGGAGAATCGGAAAGGAAGCGGAGGAAACGAGAATGGAGAATCAGGAAGCTGAAAGCGGGGCCAAGATGGGAGAGTCTGGGGAGAGAATCAGAATATCTGAGCAGAAGAGGAACCTGGGAAGGGGAATCTAGTGAGAGGTAGAATAGCAAGAATCCTTGTGTAGTAGAGCAGAATAGGAAAGGCAGAATCCTTAGGCGCGGACAGACTTCTCCATTACTCTCGAACTTGTGAAATTTTCAGTGAAACGGGGGCGGCCGAAACGTTTCATGTGAAATTCACATGAATTCACATGTGAAAGTGAAAGTGTGAAAATTCGCACTCACAAACCCTGAGTGCGAGAGCTGCCGCGTGTTGCCCTCTGAAATGGACAGGCTCGCCGCCAAACGCGACGACGACGAAAGAGCGGCCCTGCCATTCTTTGCAAACCAAAAGGCTCTGGTGGACTCGCTCCTCTCATGCACGAGCCTGGCAGCCTTCTTCACTCTCCCGACGTGTGCCACAGCGCGAGCCGTCAAGCTGGCCTTCCTCAGCGCGCGCATGCACGCGCGCGAGAGCCGTCATCCGCAGCGCCACGCCGCCGTCCTGCTGCTTCAGCGCCTCAAGCGCAAGGCCATGGAGCTGGCGAGTCCTCCTGACAGGCCGTGGAACCACCGCGATGAACTGATCAAGGCGGAGAACGACGACGTCGACATCGCTGACGGCTACTGCGATTGGCTTGACGCCTCGACCGGACGCGAAGACGTCGACGACGAAGACGGCTACGACTGGGCTGGCGCCTGGGCAGCGGCGGCAACGATGCTGGTGAGTGAGGATGTGGCCGAAGCCGCCGCTACCGCCGATGCACACCCGGTTCTGGTGCGCACATTTCTCCTCCGCGCCGCTGCTGCAGCGGCCGGGCCCTCGGCCGTCGGAGCCGAGCCCGTCGGGGCCGCCGATCGCCCGTCGGTCGGGCAGAAGCGAAGCCACGATGTGTAGTGCGGTGTGGACGGGCGGCTGCCCGCGCGCGATGCATAGCGCACAAGGGTCCGGCGCTTTGAATAAAGTCAACTTGAATAAAAAATCAATCACAAAAATGATGGAGCACGAACTGGGCCTGGCACAGACCTCATGGACCAGCACGACCCATGGCGATGCAGACGATGGAGCCTGTCAAGCCGACGGCGAGCTCCCCGGACGGTGCTGTGGAGGACGGTGCGGTGCCATCTGCCGCGCTACCTCTTCACATTTGGCCTCTCACCGTCGGGCCAGGCGATGAGTCAGAAGATTAAGCGGCAGGGGAGAGAACGACGAGAGCGAGAGACCGCGAGCAGTGGCCAGGAGGTGGCATGAAGGTCGTGCGCGAATTGGCGAGATATTGCAAGACGGAGATAGGAAGAGGCAGACGCCCGACGAAAGCCGGCTAGCGCCACATTCCGCGACGATTCTTTCTTTTTGCGCGCGCGAAATTCTTTTTTCGGTTTTTACATTTTAGATGTGTGTACACATATGGCAGGCGCGCCGGCCGCAGCACCGTCTCCAGCCCCAGCCCTCTCGCTCGTCCACCTCGACAACGCGGCGCCCGCCTGCGCCGCCTCCGCCGGCGAGCTCGTGCTCGGCCGGGAGGACCTCCGCGAGGCCGACCGGGAGGGACCGGACGCCAACAAGGTGTCGCGCAGGGCCAAGGGCGGGCAGCTCACGCTCGCGCTTGGCTCGGACGGCGAGTGGAGGGCGCGCTCCCGCGAGGGAGCGCTGTGGCCCGCCGGCCTGCAGCGCCGCGGCTCGCGTCCGGAGCCCATCGCGACGGCCGAGCCGGTCGCGCTCCGCCACGGCGACGTCCTCTACCTCGTGTCGCAGCCGCTGCTGAAGAGGTATCCGCTCCTCGTGCGGCTGCCACCGTCCGGCGACTGCGTGGCGGCGGACGAGTGCGAGGCTGCGCGCCGGCGGCAGGACGAGTGGCGCCTGCGCGATGGCTCCTTCCACGTCGAGGTGTGCGAGCTCCAGCCCTCGTCCTTGACATCGGCCGCGCATGCGAGCGGCAGCCACGAGCGGGCGAGCGGGACGCTGACGCTGACGCTGACGCCGCGCGGGAGCTCGGGCCGCGGAGGGACGCTCGCCGCGCGCTGGTGCGAGGGGAGGCGCACCTTCGGGACCGACCCCGCCGGCGTGTCCGCGTGGGCAGAGCTGCCTGTCGGGCGGGGAGAGCTGCAGGTGCGCGAGCGCAATACGCACGCACGTATCCGCCGCACACGCAGACAGCAGGCAGAACCGCAGACAGGCATCACAAACATACACACCCCCTGCAGGCCACTGTCCGGCGGCACAAGATCCACTCGGGGTGGAGGGAGCTGCTGCTGCGGAGCGAGCGCAGCCAGCCGGCGGAGCTGGAGCCCATCCGGATGGAGGAGCTGCACGCGCCGCCCGGCGTGAGCCACGGTCCGCCGTCACCACCGCCATCCCCACCGCCGTCCCCCACGCCCTCGCGTATCGACCCGTCGCCGTCGCTTTCGCCCTCCCTCGCCTCTCCGCCGCCGCCGTCGCGGCCGCCGCCGTCGCGGCCGCCGCCAGCGCCCCTCCCCACCCGCGCACGCACCTCGCCGCGCGCCCCCCGGCAGGCGCGTCGCTGCTGCTCGACCTGCTGCAGCGCAAGGAGCGGCTCGAGGCGGCGCGCGCAGCGCAGCGCGCGAGGACCGAGGCGCTGCAGGCGGAGCTCTCGGCGGCGGACGAGACGCTGTCGGCCAAGGTCGAGCAGATGCGCGCCGAGGAGGCGGAGGTCTGGAGCGACTTTATGCCGCTGCTGCACGCCAAGCGCGCCAGGCTGCGGAAGCTCGAGGCGGACGCGCTGGAGAGGGACCTCTCGCTGAGCGACGTGGAGGCGGGCGCGGGGCATGGAGAGTCGGATTGAGTCAGGTGGTGGGTTTGAGTGTCGTGAGCAGCCGCGAGTGCAGTACCGTTTGTGACTCCCATGGATACAGTTGGGTGGGCCACGATGCTGGGCGTCGGGGGGCGGTCCGGTGCGCCACAACAGCCTCCCTGCGCCCAATCACCACACATGTGTGACTCGCCTAATTTGGAGACGCCGTGTACCGTGGGGCCTTGTTGTCCTAGCACGGGCGACGCCGACGGGGGTCGGGGGTACCCGTGTGGACCGGAGGACTAGGGGGTTGTATCAGAGGAGGCGGGGGGGGTGAGGCAAGGCGGCCCAGATCTGCTCGTCTCAGAGGGTACCCTCTGTGCCAAGAGAGGCCATCTACGAGCGGCTCAGAGGGTGCCTGGGCCGACCCTCTGAAGGGCCTGTGCCGCCAAGCCAGCCTCTCTCTCGTCGCAGCCTCTGAGGCTACGGGGACCCTCTGAGACGCCAAGGCAAGCCCCGCGAGGCCGCTCCTCAGAGGGAGTTTTTCAGCGGTATCTCAAAAGTCTGTCGTGATCCCCCACCAAGCAGAGAGAACCCTCCCCAGCAAGGGCCCAGCTTCCATTGGTTTCGGATACCTCAAGGTCGAGTTCACTAGGACGCCGCGGCGCCTCATGGCCAAGCTGGAGCAGGGGACGGACGTGGAGATCACTACCTCCTCCTCGGGCGGCCGCTCCAAGCACATCCTCAAGTTGACGGTCGGCGCCGCGGGCCGCGCGAAGCTGTCGCGCAGGGCTCGGCGCGGGCGCTGTGAGCCTGCAGCAGCAGTAAGCGTGTGTGGTGCCGGGCGCTCGAAGCGAGAGTAGCGCCTTAGTCATGCTCGCTGCTTCCGCCCCCTCCCCGCCCTCCCTGGTCAGCGCCGTTCGTGGAGGGCTAGGCGCTCCGGCCTCCGCCCGGGGCTCTCGCCTCTGCCGTGAGGGGGCAACCCTCTGAGGTCAAACAAAGCCCTCTGTGCCGCGCCAAGACAGACCCTCGGCCAGGGACCCTCTGAGGCCAAAATCAGCCAAGAGAGGCCACAGAGGCGGCACAGAGTCAGAGTCAAACCCTCTGTGCCGCCAAGCCTGGGGTCCGACCCGTCCTCAGAGGGGGGTCTGTGGGGCAGACTACGGGGATCGGCTTCTTACACCGCCCTTCCTTGCAGCGAGCCCCCTCCAACCCACCCGCGCTAGGTCTCGGGTTTGACGCATGGGGTCACTCCCGCGAAACCCGTGAACTAGCCGGGGCAGTCGGAGAAGGGCAACTCCGTGCACTGACGGTCGGCCGTCAGAAACTACGCCTGCGTGGATCGCGTCACACCAATCCTCGCTACCCAACGCGGCCAAAGGATATCCACCTCGAGAACCTCGAGAGAGAGGGTTCCTTGGGGTCTCAGAGGGTGAACCTTCTTTTTTACCAGGCTAGGATTGAGAGCAGCCTCGCTCTCTCAACCCTAGAAGTCGAAGGAGTGTGAGCAGCACTCCTCGCAATCGTAGCATCTCTGTGCGATTGTGAGCGCCTGCGCTCGCAATCCTACATCTTCTAGGACTAAGAGCAGCTCCGCTCCCAAGATGACTGGTGACGCCTACGACTACTACCAGCGCGCTCGCAATCCGAGCAAAGTCTAGGACTGCGAGCAGCACTGCTCACAATCCTAGCGACAAGCCTCCGATTGCGAGCAGTAGCGCTCGCGATCCTAGAACTTTCGCCGATTGCGAGCGACACCGCCCACAGTCCTACGACTTCTAGGATTGCAAGCGGTTCCCCCCCCGCAATCGGTGCGAGCACTGTTGGATTGTGAGGAGACCCCCCCCGGCGCGCTCACTCACAAGCGCTCGCGGCTGGAGCGATTGGGAGCGCCCCCTGTGAGCTGCTAGCAATCCTTGGATCTTTGGTACGATTGTGAGCACCGCCGCTCATAGTCCTACAAGATGTAGGATCGCGAGCGCTACTGCTCGCAATCGGAGGCTTGTCGCTAGGATTGTGAGCAGAGCTGGGCGCAAAGCCCGCTTCGCTGGGCTTTGCCAAGTGGAAGCTCGTCATCGACGTCTCCAGCGACGACGGCGGCGCTCAGCGGCGGCTCCTCGCGACTCCGGAGCGCATGGCGAAGCTGCTCGCCGCTTGCCGCTTCACCAACGGCGCGGACTCGTCGGCCGTGCTCGCGCTCTATGAAAAGACGGCGAAGGCCGTGCTGGGCACGGTCGAGAAGCTCAACTACCACGGGCTGCCGCTCGTGCGTGGCGTCGCGTGGACTAGCCCGGCGCTGCTGGCGGAGGCGCTAAACCATTGCGAGAGCCTCCGGACCCTCGACCTAAATGGGACACGCCTCGACGACGAGGGCGTGGCGGAGCTCGCGGCGGGGCTCGAGGACGGTGCGCTCCCGGCGCTTGAGTTCCTCATGGTTAATGCAAACCGCTACGGCGTGCGCGGCGTCGGCGCGCTCTGCGGCGTGTTCCATCGCGGCGTGGCGCCGGCGCTGCAGACGCTCAACGTCGGTGCCACGCCTATTGGCGACGAGGGAGCCGTGGCGCTAGCTGCGGCGCTGGCGATGGGCAAGCCGTCGCATGGGCTGGGGTTGGCGTGGTGCGAGGTGGGCGACGAGGGCGCGATGGCACTCGCAGCTGCCCTCCCGGCCGCGGGTCAGGGATGTCGCGTGAACGCCATGTACAATCGGATCGGCCTCGCGGGCCAGGCGGCACTACTAGATGCACTCGAGGCGAAGCACGGGGGCCGCAGCCGGGGCATGCGATGGCGGCGTGGCAGATTAGCTTGCTTCCCTGGTCGTACCCACTCATGCGCGCTTTGGGGCGAGGCGCGCGACCTGCGTACGAGAGCGGCCGACACACCATATAAGGCACACCTTTATGATTCGGAATGCTTTCAGTGTAAGGTACTATCCTGCACGTATCTTAGTTAGGGCCCGAGACGCAGGGGGGGGGGGGGAGAGAGAGAGAGAGAGAGAGAGAGAGAGAGAGAGAGAGAGAGAGAGAGATCAGAGACGTCACAATGGTTGGTATCTCTCTTGAGTAAATAAAGTCGGGCAGGGACCAGGGGCAGGCCCACGCACGCCACACCGTGGGCTGGCACAGAGCCAGACCGGAATTCTTTTATTGGGGGCGCGCCGCCAGGCGCGTCCCCACTTTTGTATCACAGCTGCGAGGGCCAACCAAGGGATTCGGCGCGTCAAGTTAACTTGACCGCTCGTTCGGGCTTTGGGCCGCAGGCCGGCGCGCAGCGCCACGCCGCCAGGCGTCCGCCGGAGGCCCGCCGGAGGCTCTTCCTGCGGCCACATTCTGGCAAGATTCCGCCGCGCTCAGGCGCCCAGAGGATGCGTGCGCTGCGCTCAAACGTCGCGATTTGGCAATAGGCGCTCGAGCCGGCGCACAGCGGACGGGTGCGCCGCGCAGGGGGGGTCGGAGGGGTGCGAGAGGGGGCGTGGGTCAGGCGCGCACCGGCCGGCTCCGGGAGCGGCCGTCACGTCGAGGAGGGGGGCTGTCGGCGGCTCGAGCGGCGAGGCGTGCCACTCTGCTTCGCCGCCGACAGCCCCTCTTCCGAGCCGGCGCGTGGCGACGAGCCGCGGCCAGTGTCGCTGGTTCCTTTGGCGGCGCAGCGTTTATCCCCCCCACCCGCGCCCGCCCGCCCGACCGCCCGCCCGCCCTCAGGCCTTGCCCCTTCGCAGGCGCGGGAGCGCTCGCCGGCGAGCACCTCCTACCTCTCCTCGCCCGGCTGCTCCCTTGCCCCGTCGCCCGCCGCGCCCTCGCCCGGCCTCAAGAGCTTGGCGGCCTTTGTCCGCCAGCTCAAGGCGTGGGACGAGGCGTGCGCCGACGGCCGCTCGTCGTGCTGGTTCGAGACGGAGGGCGACCTCCCGCGGCTGGCCGGGGAGGCGCTGCTGGCCGAGGCGGCCGCGACGGGCGCGAGGCGGATCGCCTTTGACGCCGTCGCGGCGCGTCTCGAGGCGACCGCGGCGCCGCCGCCGCCTCTCGGCACCGCTTTGGCCGCGTGGCCCACGGGATGGGGCATCGAGGAGGGCAACTTCTGCGGGCTGGCGCACTGGGCTGTGGAGGTGTGGCACGCGGCCGGGTCGGTCGACGCGAGCCGGTGGCAGGTCGAGGCTGACGGAGGGCGCCTCTTCTTTGTGCGGGTCGCGGAAAAGGCCGCATAATCGCGCTCTCCGCCGAGGCCCGCCTCGGCGACGGCGCTCGCCGCGCCGCAGCAGCAGTAGCAGCAGCAGCAGCAGCACGTGATTCTTGACACATGATTACACTACACAGTCCTCCCTTCGGTTGTCGTTTCGACCCTGTTTTTTTCTTCTATCGCAGCGCACTCGCATCTGTGAGCCTAGCGCAGCGCGAACTCGCCGTCTGAGCCTAGCGCAGCGCGAACTCGCTCTGAGCCTAGCGCAGCGCCTCGGAAAACACCATTTTGGCTCGCCAACAAGCCCTCCGCGCCCCCACACCGTTAGGATAATACTTTTTTCCTCGAGCGAACGCCGAGTTCTGTGTTCTGTCATCGGCTGACTTTTGAGCATCTAGTGAAGTGCTTAAACCCTCTCCACCGGCCGCCTCGCCACCTCAGCCGGGGCATCGCTCCACTACCCCCTCTGCGCCGCACGCACCTCCGCACGCTCGCTGCGTCACCCACACGTGCCCCGCCAACCCCTGGCACCAACGGCGCAGGCGCTGTTCAAGCGGTTCTCTTTTGTGGGCCAAGATGGCGCACAAAGACTGGGGGCCAAGGGACACGGAGAGCGAACTCACGAGGCTCAAGAGCATCACCGACAAGGCTCTCTTGCAAAACGTCGAGAAGCGCTACAGGGCTGGCAACATCTACACGCGAAGCGGCCGCATCGTGCTCGCCGTGAACCCCTACAAGAAGCTGCCGCTGTACACGGAGGAGACGCTGCAGGCCTACAAGGCGTCGCTGGCGCCGCAGGTGCGCGGTGGCTGCCCCAGCCGCAGGTCTGTAGGGCCGGACGCGCTCTGACTCCCTCTGATGCCGCTGCAGGTGGAGCTGCCGCCGCACGTGTACGCCGTCGCCTCCTCGGCGCACTCGGGCATGCTGCGAACGTCGACGAGCCAGGTGAGCGAGCGCGGAGTCACCGCGCCATCGCGCACACGGCCGGCCCTCGAAGGGAGGGGGGCCTCACCGCGTGCCCCGCGCCGCAGTCGGTCATCATCTCCGGCGAGTCGGGCGCCGGCAAGACGGAGACCGCAAAGATCCTCCTTGAGTACCTCGCCGAGGTGAGCTGCTCGGGCTCGGACCTGCATACGCGCGTCCTCAAGACGAACCCCATCATGGAGAGCTTTGGCTGCGCAAAGACGATCTGGTGAGGCCGCGGCACGCCCCCAGACACACGCGGCCGACGCCGCACGCCGCGAGGGGCGGAGCGAGAGAGGTGGCGAGATGCACCATGCTGCGCGGAAGCTCATGCGGCGTGTGTCGGCTCCTCCGCCCCCGGCCGCGCTGCCCGTGCCACGCCGCCGACCGCCCCCCTGCACCCCCTCCCTCCCCCCCGACAGGAACAACAACTCGTCGCGCTTCGGCAAGTTCCTCACGCTCCAGTTCTCGCCGACCGGCCGGATGCAGGGCGCCTTCATGAAGACGTACCTCCTCGAAAAGTCGCGCATCACGTCGCAGCTGGCGAACGAGCAGAACTACCACGTCTTCTACACCGTCGCAAAGGGCCTCTCCCCCTCCCAGCGGGCCGAGCTCCAGCTGCCCAAGGGGTCGGACGCCGTCGAGGCCTTCAAGCTGCTCAACCTCAGAAAGGCGTCTGACGTGGACTGGCGCGACCGCCGCGGCGCCGGAGGCGGCGTCCGCCGCGGAGGGGCGCGCGGCCTCACACCTCTCCCCCCGCGAGCAGGTCCGAGCTGCCCTGCGACTTCGCCGAGCTCTCTGCCGCCTTCGCCGTCATCCCCTCGCTCGCCGGCTGCCAGCTGTCGGTGTGGAAGGTCATCATGGCGGTCCTCTACCTCGGCAACCTCGACTTCGCGGGCAAGGGGGCGGTCGGCGACTCGACCGTCGCGGACGCAAAGATCGCCGACCCCTCCACCACCGCCGTCATCGCCCGCCTCCTCTCCATCCAGCCAACGGAGCTCGAGAACGCAATCTGCATCCAAAACATCAACGCCGGAGGCGAGTGGATCAAGTCTCCAAACTCGATCGCCTACGCCTCCGACGTCAAGAGCGCCCTCACAAAGGCGCGCCGCCCCCTCTGCCCCCCTCTGCCCCCCTCTGCCCCCTCTGCCCCCCTCTGCCCCCCTCGTCCCTCTCTGCCGCCCTCGCCCCCTCTGCCGCCACGGCGCTGCCGCTCTCCTGGAGACATCACTCTCGTCTACCCTCTCCGCCACAGGCAGCGCCTCCTCCGCACCCACGCCCGCAGCGGCATCCCACACGCGCCCCGCCAGCCGCGACCCCCCGGGCACAACGGCGCAGGCGCTCTACTCGAAGCTCTTCGACTGGGTCGTCGAGATGATCAACTCGTCGCTCATCTCCGGCGAGGGAGGCCGCTACTTCATCGGCGCCGTCGACATCTTCGGCTTCGAGTGCTCGCCGAGACAGCAGCGCGCTCGAGCGACATGCGAGCAGAGCGTCGCTTCACACACCGCGCGTGTACACCAGGTGCTTCCCGACAAACTCGCTCGAGCAGCTCTGCATCAACTTTGCCAATGAGCGGATGCAGCACATGTTTACGGAGGCTGTCTTCGAGTCGGTGACCGGGGAGATATGGGGAGATATAGACCAGCGCTGCGATCCTACGATCCCAACACACGCCAACCTCGGGGCGGGGAGACGAGTACACGCCAACAGCCAGCCAGTGTCAGCCAGTGGGACACCTAGCTCGCACGGACGGCGGGGCACACACGCACGCACTCGCGGAGAGCACACACACAACCGGGGCATCACACGCGCCGCACGCCCCCACCGGCAGAGGCGAGGCCGCCGGCCTGGTGGAGAGGGCTTGCGCGGCGGCGCCTCTCTCGTAGGTGATCGCCGAGTACCAGAAGGAGGGCATCGACGTCGCCGACATCACGTTCGAGGACAACACCCCCCTGCTCGAGCTCATCGACAAGCCGGCCACCGGCATCCTCTCGCTGCTCGCCGAGGAGTGCTTCTTCCCAAACGGCACGGACGCCTCCTTCGCGCAAAAGATCAAGCTCGCGCACGCCAGACACCCGTGCTTCGCCGAGGTGAAGCTCGACCGCACCGCCTTCACCCTCTCGCACTTCCCGGGCAAGGTGACCTACCAGTCGGCCGGCTTCCTCGAGAAGAACAAGGACCCGCTCCCGCAGGACCTGGTCGTGCTCATGCGCTTCTCCGACGACGACTTCGTCAAGACCCTCTTCGAGGAGAAGAAGGGCGCCGGTGCGCGCCGATTCAAGTCGGCAAAGTTCGTCGGCGCGACGGATCGACGCGTCTCCGCACCGCTCGCTCGGTCTGTGCACGTGCGTCGCCTGACCTCTTTTAGGCGTGATCGACTCGTTCTCAATGATGTATTTACTCAATGAATAACATAATCGAGTGATCTCTTTTAGGCGTGATCGACTCGTTCCGCGTCTCGCTCAACGAGCTCGTCAAGACGCTCAGCGCGACGAAGACGCACTTCATCCGCTGCGTCAAGCCAAACATGGACAAGAAGGCGATGTCCTGGGACGAGGACGTGATGCAGCGGCAGCTCCGCACCTCGGGCGTGGTGCAGGCGGTGAAAGTTGCGCTTCCCCGAGCCCTGGTGGAGCCGTCGCCCATAGGCAGCTCTACACCTCGGGCGTGGTGCAGGCGGTGCAGGCGACGCGCAAGGGCTTCCCCGACATCCTCCCCTTCGCCGAGCTCCTCTCGCGCTTCGAGCAAGTCGTGCCCAAGGCGGCCATCGGCAAGGCGGGGGCCGAGGGCGTGCGCGCGCTGCTCAAGGGCGCCGAGGTGCCCGAGACGGACTACCGCGTCGGCAAGACCAAGGTCTTCCTCGGCGTGGGCGTGCTCGACCGGCTCGAGCAGCGGCGGATGGAGTACATCGCGTCCAAGGTGATCTCGATGCAGGTCCTGGCGCGCGGGTACCTCGCGAGGAGAAGGCTGTTGGCGAAGCGCGACGCGAAGGCGGGCGGCGACTACAAGAAGCAGCAGGAGGCGAAGAGGGCAGCTGAGGCCGCCTTGAGGAAGAAGCGCGAGGAGGCGGCGGCGGCGGCGGCCGCCGCGAAGGAGGAGGAGGCGGCGGCGAAGGTGCGGCAGGCGCGGTACCAGCGCGCGCGCAAGATGTCCTTCGAGCGGAAGACGGCCAAGAGCAAGAAGGAGGAGGCCGAGCAGGCCGAGCAGGAGAAGAAAGCCGCGGCCGAGAAGGAGAGCGAGAAGAAGCGCTTCTCGCTCTTCAAGAAGAAGGCGGCCGACGAGGCAAAGGCGGAGGCGCGGGCGGAGGAGGCGAGGAAGGCGGCCGAGAAGAAGAAGAAGGAGGACGACGTGTGGGCGCAGTACAACTTCCACTGCGAGGTGCGCCTCGGCAGCCAGAAGGGGGGGGGGGGTTCCCTCTCGGTGACCTCGCATCTGCGTCTCGGCGGCAGGTGAGCGACATCCTCGGCTACGCCGAGTACATCGGCATGGACATCAAGGAGGACGCGCACCTGCTGTGGATCGCCGACGAGGCGCTGCAGGCGCCCGAGCCGCAGGGCTGGGAGCAGCGGCTCGACCCAAAGGGCGGCGTCTACTACTACCACGGAGTCACCGGCATGGTCCTCAACCAGCACCCGCTCGACCACCACTACCAGCAGGCGTGGGCCGAAGCGCCGCGCCCTCCAAACTGCAGAACCCTCCCTCTCGCCCGCAGCGACCTCTCCTCACACCCCTGAGCGTCCGCGCAGCCCTACTCAGTGACACTCAGTGACGCCTCTGGACCGCGGCGCCGCAGTTCTACCACTCGATGAAGGCCCAGTACGAGGCGCAAGCAACGGTGGGGCCCAAGCTGAGCAACGTGCTGTCGCCGACGGCGCACCTCGACACGATGAAGCGCGGCCAGATGCCGGCGCTGCGCGAGGTGAAGTTCATCAAGGACTCGGTCGAGTCGAAGATGGGCTTCATCTTCCACCGCACCGACGACGCGTTCGACAAGTCCTTCTTCAACGTCGAGGGGTCTGTCCAGCCCATCATCAAGACGGTGAAGCCCGGGGGGCTCGCCGAGAGCTCTGGCCTCGTCCCGGGTGACGTGGTGCTCTCGGTCAACGGGATCTCGGGGCTGAACAACTTCCAGGTGGTCGAGATGCTCCGCCAGGGCAAGGGGGTCTTTAACCTTGTCGTCTTTTCCGGGCAGCCGATCGTCTCGCTCGGGCAGCCAGTCAGGCAGCCAATCACGGCAGAATTCCTCGGGCTCGACCCGTGAACGGTCCGCGCGACTAGATTATTGTACTCACGGGAGATCGCGCGTCGCCTCTCGTGGAGAGCCGCGGGGCCGAGGCGCCACACTTGAGGCGCGGGGGGGTGGGGGGGTGGGGGGGGGGCTGCGTGTGGGAGAGAATGCGCGCCAACGGAGGAGGGGAGTGCGTGTTCGTTCAACGAGAGAAATGCCTCCTCGGCATTTTACGGCATTTGTTTAAAAGTCTCGCGCTTGGAACCGCCACTCCCCGTCCGCCTCTGGCCGTGGCTCTGTCTCTGCTCCAAGTCCAACCTGGCGCCGGCCAAACCCAAAGGCGCAACCAAGCCCGCCCGGGAACGTGCAGCGCCGCGTCCCCTGTGCCCCGCCGCGCCACGCCGATTGGTGCCGAAGCGGCGGATCTCCGCCCGCTGCTGGTCCCCGCACACGCCCGCCTGCGCCTTGGAGCCTGGCAGCAGCGGCGCGCCCTCCCAGCGGCCAGTGCTGCGCGAGACGACCTCGACGCACCGCAGACCCGTCCTGGCAAAAGCCTTAGCTCCGATGGAGGAGACGGAACCAGGTAGGGAGAGCGACGAGAGCGACGAGCAGTCGCTGAACGCCTTGGCGCCAATGCTCGTCACCGAGGCGGGGATTGCCACGGACCGGAGGGCCGTGCAGCCGCGAAGGGCGCCGTTGCCAATGCTCGTCAGCGAGCCTGGCAGGACGATCGACTCGAGCGTCGTGCAGCGCTGAAGGAGCTGGTCGCTGAGGCTGCTCACAGCTGGGAGACGAATGGAGAGCAGCGACGTGCACGCAAAGAAGGAGAGCTCGCCGATGGCGGTGACCGAGTCGGGGATGTCGATTGCACGCAGCGACGAGCAGGCGGCGAAGGAGGCCGTGCCGAGGGTCGTGACTGAGCTGGGAATGGAGATGGACTCGAGGGAAGAGCAACCGGAGAAGGTGCTGCTTGCAATGTTCGTGAAGTTGCTGTGGTGGGGGAGCACGACGCTTCGCAGCGCCGCGCACTGCTTGAAGGCGCTGTCGCCAATGCTTGCGACCGAGTCGGGCACGGCGAGCGACTGAAGAGAGATGCAGTCTCGAAAGGCGCTGTTGCCGATGGCGGTGACAGTCGGTGGGAGGAGTACGGAGGCGAGCGACGAGCAGCCGTAGAAGACCTGCTGCTCGAGGGCCGTAACCAAGGGCGGGATGTCGACGCTGCGTAGCGAGGAGCACTCCCGGAAGGCGCCGCTGCCGAGGGCCGACAGAGAGGGCGGGAGGGCGATTGCTGCGAGCGAGGCGCAGTACTGGAAGGCATAGTCGCCGATGCGAGTGAGCGATGGCGGCAGGGCGACGTCCGCCAGGGCCGTGCACCCCTTGAGCGCAAAGTCACCGATTTCGGTCACCTTGCCAGGGATGTCTATGGACGGGAGCGCCGCGCAGCCCATAAAGGCGCCCAAGCCAATGGCGGTGAGGGAGTCGGGCAGCTCGACCATGGCGAGACTGCTGCACCCGCTGAAGACGAGCTCACCGATACTCCCCACAGACGCCGGGATACGGACGTGTTCGAGTGCCGTACAGCCGCTAAAGGCGGCGTCGCCGATGCTCTCAAGCGCATCCGGCAACTCAATCTCACGGAGGGAGCTGCAGCCGAAGAAGGCGGCGTCTCCGAGGCTCTTGACGGTGGGCGCCGAGAAGGCTGTCAAAGAAGAGCACCCGTTGAAAGCCTGGTCCGCGATGCGCGTCACTGATGCGGGGAGCGCGATGGACTCGAGCGACGTGCAAGACTTGAACGCAGAGGCGGGGATAGCCGAGAGTGAGGCGGGAAGGGCGACCGAGCGGAGGGAGGTACAGCCCCACCAGGCGCCCTCGCCGACGTGCTGGACAGATTTGGGCACCTCGACTGCCGTCAGGCTCGTGCACCCGTAGAAGGCGTGCGCCCCGATGCTCGCGACCGAGCCGGGGAGCGAGAGGGAGGCTAGAGCCGTGGCGCCGTAAAAGGCGTTATCACCGATGGTGACGACGCTGCGTGGGATGTCGAGGGAGGTGAGTGATGTGCAGCCCTCGAGAAGTCGATCACCGAGGACTGCAATGCCGCGGGGAAGAGCAAGGGCTGCGAGGGATGAGCAGCCGTAAAAGGCGGCGTGGCCAAGGTGGGTGATGGAGTCGGGGAGCGTGGCAGAGGCAAGAGAGTAGCAGTCCCGGAAGGCGACGTCGCCCACGCTCGTCATGGATCGCGGCAGTCGTATGGATCTGAGCGACGAGCACCCCGCAAAGGCCTGGGTGCCAATGCGCACAACGCCCTCGGCGACTTCGACCGACACGAGCGCCCGGCAGCCGCGGAGGGCATAGTCACGTATGCTCGTCTCGGAGCTGGGGATGGTGGGGGAACATTCGGATATGAAATCCATTTCCGCCCCTATTGGGGCCCTCGGCGCTATCCTCCTCCCTGGCACACCGCCCTATGGCGGTATTGCACACTGGGATCGACAGGGTGTCTCCAACCTCTTCCACATGTAACCCCCGACTAAGCGGGGCCATGACACTCATGCGGGCGGGGCCGGCGGGGCCAAGACATTCATGCATGCGGGGTCTCCGCCCCTCCTCTCCGCCCCGCCCGCCGCCAACCTCCATGGGGGAGGGTCCGCCACCCCCGCCCGCGGTCTCCATCTCACGCGATGGGCCTGTGGGAGGTGGCAGGGAGTTTGAAGGTGCGGCAGGGAAGAGCCGTGTGTGCTGTGGGTGCGGGGCGGGTGCGTACATGATGGGGCGCGTGAGGATGAGCCCCTCGCCGTCCTCGTACGCCACAATGCGCTCGACGAGGTCTTCCACGGCGAAGCCGAAGAGGCGGTGGAAGTAGAGGATGCCAATGGCCCCGCGCGCCGACCGGTGCGTGAGGGCCGGCATTGCCGGGGTCGGCCGGGTCTCGTTGGCGGGCTTGGAGAGCGAGGTCACGTAGGTGTACCCCAGCTGGGTGATGACGCCCATCAACGTCAGCGCAACCTGCCAAAGCACAGCGCACACGGGGTTGTCGCCCCGGCCGCCCGAGGCCATGAAGGCCTTCGTTCCCTCGGTGGTGATGAGCATCTCGAGTGCCTCGAGTGCGTCCTGCACCCCGAGCTTGATCTCCTTGTTCTTGGGCGCAATCGCCGCGTACGTCTTGAGGCACGCGCGGACCGAGCGCCCAACGAGCGCGCGCGCATCGCCCTCGGAGAGCGCGCGCTCGAGGTCAATGGCGAACTTGGCGGGCGGCTCGTTCGCGGCGAAGATCACTCCGTCCCGCAGGTGGGGAGGCGGGGTGCCAGGCTCAACCTCCACCTTGGCAAAGGCCTGCCGGATCGGCGGGTGCTTGGCCACGAGGCCAGACGCGACCATCACGAAGTCGTGGTCGCCCTGGTCGTGGTACATCCCGAGGGCCTCGTTGGTGAGGACGCGATACGCCTGCTTGACCTGGATGTGTGCCGCGACGGGCTGCGGCTCGCCCCCGCTTGGGATGCCCTCGTCCTCGGGCATCTCCTCGGCCGAAGCCTCCCCCTCGTCGGTGGGGGGCTCGCCGAAGGCGTTGGTGGGCGACGGGCTCGGCGGCAGCGACCCCGACATGGGCGTGGTGCCGTAGTCATCATAGGTGTTGTGCGAGCTTTGCGAGCCGTTGTGCAGCCCGGAGGTGGCCTGGGAGGCGACGGACGCAATCGACGGCGGGCGCGGCGTGTTGAGGCGGTTGCCGCCGGCGAAATGCGAGGCGTCGTTCACGTTGGCGGTGACGGGCGAGAAGGGCGGCGAGAGCATCATCGAGGGCTCGAGCGTGAGCGAATGCTTCGGCGATGATAGTCCCCCATGGAAAAGAAATCCATCGGGCGGTTCGTCAAAGGTGATCTCGCCAAGGCGCGTCGGGTGAGGCGAGTCCGTGCGGCCACCCATGAATGCGCTGCCGTACCGGGCGGCCTTGGCCGGCGGCGGCGAGATGGCGCATGCGCTGAGCGTCTGCTCGTCAAAGAACTCTTGGACCCCCTCGATGGAGGCAAACCACTCATCGAGCAGGTCCTTCGCCACCGCGAATTGAAACTGGGGCACGTTCGGGACCAATGGCTGCATCGCCTTGGTAAGGAAGAGGTTCGCACCCGCCTTCGCCCTCACCTCCGACCAGAGCATCGTCTTCGAGAGGTCTTCCGGGTCGATGGTTTTCGCGTTGAAGACGTCGACGATTGCCTCGGCGTTGATCACGAGGTCGCCGAAAAGGTAGTGGGGTCGGACACCGAGCGGGCCAGACATGAGGGTGAGCACGATGTTATCCATCGCGCAGTGGGTCAGCTCGAGCGTCGCATCGTCGAGCATGATCCCGGACTCCACCCACATGTTGGGCGCGTAGTAGGCGTACTCTTCGATGGCGCGGCCCACCAGGTCGAGGGCCTCCCGCACAGTGAAGACGTCGCAGGAGCGCTTCTCTGCCCTGATGATCCTAGTCATCGCCAGCAGGTAGTGCGAGAGGTAGTCAAACAGCGCCGACTTGCATGTTTCGAACCCTCGGCAGGACCCGGACTCGGGTGCGCACTCGCATGGGCAGTAAAATCGGAAGGCCGTCCACGTCGACTCAATCGCGGCGACCGCCGCCATCGCATCCTCCTTGACGATCGGGCAGAAGTGGTCCAGGCGTTCGCGAATGGTGCTCGAGCCGAGCGGGATGGTGAGAGTATTGCGCCTCTCCGGCCCGTCCCCGAGAATGGTCCAGTCCCGGGGTGCAAGTTGCTCCTCTTGGAAGAAGCAGTGCGGCGCGCCGGGCTGTGCGCGCTTGTTGCTGTCAGGCCCGCCGCTACCAATCTGCACGGTACGCGGGTCCGGCACTGATGCCGTGAACAGCTGGGGCACGAGCGTTTCCTCGCTCGCGCCCTTGGGGGGGGACAACTCCCCGCGCGCGGCCTTGTGCCACTGGCCGCCGACGGGTTTGGGGTCCGATGACATGGCGTCTCTTCACACTCGATCCGCCTGTCTGTTCACACCTTCTTTCTGCCCACTTCACGATGTGGCAGGGGTTCGTTAGCCCAGAAAAGAAGTTTTATAAAATACGCACACAAAAATGTTTTTACACCTCCACGACGCCAGTCAGCTTGTGGCATCACTCCGACACACGATTTTTCACTCCCCACAGCCGCCAACCCAGGATTGGCCGCTCGAACCGAAGACCGCCGCTCGACATATGATCGGCGGCTCACTTCGATGTCAGCCGCTCGACCTATGGTCGGCGGACCTGGGTTCGAATCTGAGGACCTGGGTTCGAATCGCCGTTGGCGGTTCATAGGGTAGATAAAAATCTTCTGGAGGTGTGCATGGACATTCTTGCCCTGAGAACGAGCAGAAAAGGAAAAGAATATTGGCACGACAAGGGCGCGGACTGGCGCGACAGGCTCACACACCGGCTACAAGGAAAAGAAAAAACCGGTCGGCTCGACGTTGGCGGGCCGTGCACGGCGCACCAGAAGAAGGAGATGACGCAGCGCGGTCAAGCTGCTGCCGTCATTCGGCAGGTGACTAGAGTGCTTGAGGAGGAGCGCAGGGGCGCGCACTTCCAGCACCGGTCCGGAGAATTTAGCCTCCTGACGCCAGACGAGCGCAACACTCGACGCATGTGGGGAGAGCTTTCCAGCTGCGTAGGCCCGACATTCGGTTCGCTTTTGCTCACGGTTGCTCGCGCAAAGGTCCACTACCGGATGGGGAGCTATAAGCACCTGGAGGACCTGGACGACGTCGCCGCGAAGCACTACAAAATTGCGCACGACCTGCTCCAGGGCGTGGTGGATGCTCAGGGACTAGACGACGAGGGCAAGGCAACGCAAGCTGAGGCCAAGAGAGTTATCGGTCACGTGCATTGCGAGTGGGCCATGGCTCTGCAAGACATGAAGCAGTATGCGGCTGCAGTCGAACACTACAAGGCTGGCCACGCTGTCGACAAGAAGACCCACGGCTGGGTGGGCAAAGTGGTGGACGTTAACAACCCGGGAAAATACGGCATCCCAGAGTGCGAGTCGCTGCAGGCGGCACAGCCCGGGGCCGATGTGGCAGTGGTGGGCGAGAGGTCGCGTGAGCAGAAGGATGCCGAGGGCCGCAAGCGCGCCATCGACCTCGAGGCTGGCGGCGGCGGCGGCGCGTCGACCCGCACCGCGGTCAGGGGCGGCGAGACGCCGCGCAAGCGCAGCCGGACGCACGAAGCGCAGCTGGAGGAGCGTGTGGTGACGGCACGCTCAGTGACCGACGCGGACATTGACCGGCGTTCCAAGGCGATCATGCAGCCCGTGTTTGACGAGTGGATGAACGGCAACCTCAGCGAGGCGGAGCTGCCGAGGCGCAAGGAGGCGGCGCGTGCGCAGGCTCTCGCGGAGCATGGGCCTCGCTCCAAGCTGGACGCCGCCTTCGCAAAGTATACGGCGGCCGCAAAGGCGCGCGCGGAGGCGGAGGAGCAGGAGGCGGCGGCCGAGGCTGCACTCTACGAGGCCTTGGCGCCTCTCGAGCGCAGCGGCTCGTCGTCTGGCGGCGCCGCCTCCTCGTCCGGCGTCATCCGGCGTTAGAGAGACGTAGCCCGCACTGTTATGTAGATGTATCGGCCCTATATGCACCCGTGTCCTGTCTACTATGCATTGGCGGGTTACAATGGTTAATGCACAGTCCGTGTCTTATCTAATCGTAATATCGATACGTGGATGTTCTCGCTTAATGTCTCACACTCAGCAGGCGTGCGAACGGATCTTCTCTGTTCATCGCTCCCAAACGACCTGGAGCTCGGAACCCACGTTGTGTATCGCTTGCCCTTCACGGCGCCAAGAAAGGGCGATGCCGCAGCGGGGTCAAGCTGTTGCCGTCACAGCCCGAGCTCCGCGAGCCCCGCTGCTGAGCCTGGTGGTGAGCCTTGTGCTGATTTCGCCGATCAAGGCTTTGGTAGTGTGGCCGCAGGCGCGCACGGGCCTCCCTCCGCGCGCCTGCGCTGCCCACCCACGCTGTGCGGTCGCCGGATCAACTAGCAGTGGTGACTTGTATGCATCGTTGGGCATCGATGCGACCGCGTCGGCGGCCGAGGTGAAGCGCGCGTATCGGCGTGCGGCGCTGCGGAACCACCCAGACGTCAACAAGGCAGCCGATGCGCAGGAGGCCTTTGCACGCATTGCCGAAGCCTACACCGTCCTCTCCGATCCGGAGCAGCGTGCAAAGTACGACCGGAAGCGCCGCGCGTCGGGCGGCGGCTGGGCGAGCGGCGCGTCGTCTCGGCCGGGTGCGACCACGGGCTGGGACCGGGGCGGCGGCGGGCGGCGCGGCGCGAGGCCGAGCGCGGCGAGCGCGGGCCGCAGCGACGAGTGGGAGGCGCGGAGGCGAGCGGAGGAGGCGCGGTACGACACGGGCGGGGACAGCTTCGGCGCGCTGCTCGGCGACCTCGTGTCGGCGACGGCAAAGGCCTTTGGCGGCGGCGCTGGCGGATGGGCGCGCACCGCCCCGCTCCCTCGCTCGCGCCGCCACCGCTCCCTTGGAGAGGTTGCGCCCTCACCACGCGCGGTCGGCAGGTGAGCTTGCTGGAGGAGCTCGCGCCGATGGAGCCCGAGGGGCTTGCCGAGCTCCTCTCCTCGACCGACACCGCCGCCCTCTCCGCCGAGCTCGACTCGGCCCAGTTTGTCGTCGCGCGGCTCGAGGAGCGGTGCGCGGCGCTCCAGGCGGAGCTCGGCCGCACCGAAGCCGAGGTGCACACACTCTGCGCGACCTCACCCTCACCTCCACACCAAAACACCGACACCAACCACCAGCCACCAGCCACCAAACACCACCAAACACCACCAAACACCAACCCTCGCGATGCGGCCGCGTTCCTCGCTCGGCGCGCGCCCCTGCCCTCGACCCCCCCCCCTACCTCTCCTCCGTCGCTCGCGCAGCTCGCCTCGCTCTCTGCTCGCGGCGCGGGTGCGGGAGGCGCCGCCATCGAGCGGTCGTACGAGCGCGAGCTGCGGCGGGAGGCGGCGGCGCGCCGGGACCGGCTTGCCTCCGCGCGCGCGCTGCTCAGCCGCGCGAAGGAGCGGCGCACCAAGCTCTCCGCGCGCCTGCAGCAGCTTCGATCGAAGGCAGCCGGCGGCGGCGGTGCCAGCGATAGCGATGGCGCGAGCAGTCCTGCCGCGAGCGGCGGCAGCGGCGGCAGCGGCGGGGCGTACCGAAGCGCTGGCCGGCGTGCCTCGGATCGCGGAGGCTCTTCAGCCCGGGGCAGGGCGGCGGAGCGAGAGGCTTCACGCCGCGGCTCCGTGGAGGACGAGCTCGACGCGCTCAAGCGCCGAATGGGGAGGAAGTGATTCCGCCACCGACGCCGTCGCGCGCGTGTCTTAAAGTAGGCTTACAGTACATACAGGATGTCAAGCTTTGGATATTGTGGAAGGCAAAGGGGACGTCCGCTGTGCTTTCATGAAAGGTCACATTTATCTTCGTAGGGAAGAATTTTGAATGATATCCGCCATAAACGCTTGCGTGGGGGCAGCTACGAGCTAGCTTTTCAGAAGCCGTTTGCGGCTTTTCTCCCCCACGCCGTTTTAAATACAATTTTTTCGGAGTGTATGAGTTTTGACTTTTGTCAACAGACAACAGTCAACACAACAACACTCAGGTCTCAGCAGGACGACTCTCACATGGTCATGGACGATCACGACGCATTCGCATAAAAGACAGACTCGACAATCGATCTTCTCTCTTCAATCGTCCAGTCAGTCTTCCTAAAGCCCCGCGACTTGAGCACTTGAGCACGGGATAGGGTCGATTCCGCGTGGTACGGGACCCCTCGATCGTCTCGCCCTCCCTCACTGGAGTGTTCATTTGGGGGGGTCATAACAAACACGGTACAGGATCGAGGTGCACGCTGCCGAAGCAGTGTCGTCCCCCCTCTCCCCGACGGCGATGGCGGTGACGCGGTGTGACCGATCGAGCTACAAGAAGAGCTTGTTCAGCAGGATCCGGGTTAGCCCGCGCACTACCTCACTGGGCCTGAGACCGCAGAGACGCTTCCCGTCACCGTCTCGGGTTAGTGTGGGATCGAACCACTCCGGGATGGGCAAGCCCATCGTTCTGATTGTGCCTTTCCCTCACCATCTGATCAATTGTCAAAATTCCTCTTGTGCAAGAGGGGAGAGGGCTCGGACGGAGCGCGTGGCGGGAGAGGGCAGGGAACCGCGACTTGATAATGTGTGTGGTAATCTGGTAAACCGCTTTCACCTGCGGACGCCTTCTGCAGCCCCCTGGGATGGGGACAGCACCCAAAAACTGCCCCCGGCGGCATACAGCCTGATTTACAGCACTGCCAGCCAGCCTCTTCCTCCTCCTCAAGGGCTGTACTATAGGCCATATTGCGCCGCCTCCTACTGGCAGCCGGGCGGGCGCGCGCCGCGGGCGCCTCGGCGCGCGCACGGCTCGCAAAGTTCGAACGAGTACTGCCGCCGGGCCGCCTCAAGGCTGCCGGGCGGCAGTACTCGCGCCTCGCAAGGCGCGCACCGGCTGCTCTGGCTGCTGCGCCGGCGGCCGCTGCGCTGGCCGCTGCTGCGCCGGCTGGCGGGCGGTACGGCCGCCGGCGGCCGCTGCACTCGCGCATTCCCTCGCGGGCGCCGTCGCGCCGCGCGCGCCCAACTCTGCTGGCACACGGCACGCGTCGTCACTCAGCCGCGGAGAACAGGCGGTGCAGCGCGCGAAGCGCGCGCGATCTCGTACTTTCAAGGCTGGATCCGGCCATTGCAAGGGTATACCTTTGAGAATCCCCAGCGTCCCACCCTCCTAGTCACACACACACACTCAATTTCTCGACTTGGCCAACAGCAACACGAAGTGCTGCGATCGAGGGTGGCCCATTTCTTTTTTCCTTTCTTTTTTGGGCCCTGTGGGCACCCTAGCGGCGGAGCCTGCGGAGGAGGCGCTGATCCTGATGGTTGCGCCGCCCGATGATGTCCACGACTAATTGTCGCTCGCCGTACTGAGCCTAGCGCAGCGCGAACTCGCCGTCTGAGCCTAGCGCAGCGCGAACTCGCTCCTGTCGCTGCGCAACCGTATCCTCCATTTTTCTTTGCGGCGGCCCGCCTCACAAAGAAATCGCGCGACGTTGGTCCATGACGCCGGAGGCGGAGCAGGCAGCGGCGGCAGAGGGCTTGACACTGGTGCGCTCGTCGCGCACCAGCACCGGGTTCGAAGGCGTGTACGCAAAATCGAAAGGCAACGGCTTCTATGTGAGGAAATCTGTGCGCGGTGCAAACCAGTACCTCGGTTACGCCGCGACGGCGCAGGAGGGTGCGCTGCTGTACGCGCGCCATCTTGGCGCGGAGGCATCGGCTGCGACCGATGCAGCGGAGGATGAGTCTATGACGGCGGCGGAGGCGGAGCAGGCAGCGACGGCAGAGGGCTTGACACTGGTGCGCTCGTCGCGCTCCAGAAGCGGGTTCGAAGGCGTGTGCGCACACTCGAAAGGCAACGGCTTTGCGGTGAGCCGCAAGGTTGATGGGAGAAAGCAGCATATTGGCTGCACCGCGACGGCGGAGGAGGGAGCGCTGCTTTACGCGCGCGAGCTGGGAACGGAGGCGTCCGCAGCAGCGGCGGCAGCGGCGGCAGCGGCGGCGGCCGAGTCTATGACGCCGGCGGAGGCGGAGCAGGCAGCGACGGCAGAGGGCTTGACACTGGTGCGCTCGTCGCGCTCCAGCACCGGGTTCCAAGGCGTGTACGCAAGGCCGAAGGGGAGAGGCTTTAAGGTGACGCGCGAGCGTGATGGTAGAACGCAGTACCTCGGTTACGCCGCGACGGCGCAGGAGGGTGCGCTGCTGTACGCGCGCCATCTTGGCGCGGAGGCATCGACTGCGACCGATGCAGCGGAGGACGAGTACGCGGGACGCCAGGCGGTCGAGATGTCGAATGCAGCCGTAGAAGGGAGTAGAGAGGCACAACCAGCGACGGCGTCAAGGATGGTCGCGCGCCACCTGGGGGCGGAGGCGTCGTTGGCGGCGGCGGCGGCGGCGGCGGCGGCGGCGGCGGCGGCGGCGGCGGCGGCGGCGGCGGCGGCGGCGGCGGCAGCTGAGTCGATGACGGCGGCTGAGGCGGAGCAGCTGGCGGCGGACGAGGGCCTGGCGCTGGTGCGGTCATCGCAGTCGCAGACCGGCTTCAAGGGCGTGTCGAAGCGGGGTGGGCGCTTTGCGGCTGTGTTCGGGTCGCACCAAAGTGAAGAGTACCTCGGCATGGCTGCGACCGCGGAGGAGGCGGCGCTGTTGTACGCGCGCCACGTCGGGGCGGAGGCGTCAGCGGCGGCGGCGGCGGCGGCGGAGGCAGAGCCGATGACGGCGGCCGAGGCGAAGCAGCTGGCAGCGGACGAGGGCCTGACGCTGATTCCGTCGTCGCAGTCGCAGACGGGCTTCACGGGCGTGTCGAAGCACGGCAGCCGCTTTCAGGCTGTGTTCGGCCATGCGCACCTCGGCATGGCTGCGACGGCGGAGGAGGCGGCGCTGCTTATCGCTCGCCACCTCGGAGCAGAGGCGTCGGCGGCGGCGGCGGCGGCAGCCGACGGACGAGAGGAGGCGAAGCGGAAGAGAGAGGAGGACGCCGAGGACAAGGCAGTGGCCGCCGCGGAGAAGAGAGCAGCGGCAGCGGCCAAGAAGCAGGCGCAGAAGGAGGCGGAGAAGGCGCGGAGGGAGGCGCAGAAGGAGGCGCAGAAGGAGTGGCTGCGGCGCTCGCAGGAAGAGCTCGCCGCACGACAGCGGCACGCGGCGGAGGAGCAGAAGCGCCTGCTGCGGGAGGCGGCCGAGCGGCGGGATCGCGAGCTGGGGCGCGAGGCGGCGCAGCGACCAGGCACAAGTGCGCCGGCGGCAGCGGAGCTCGACCCGCTCGCGACGGAGCAACCGATCGGCGCCATCATCGAGAGGGCGCTCAGCAGCACGTGCGTCTACCGTCGCCTCGGGGTGCCGCCGCACGCGCCGCGCGAGGCGTGCAGGGCCAGCTTCCTCCAGCTCGCCCGCCGCCTGCACCCCGACAAGTGCTCGCACCCACACGCGAAGGAGGCCTTCGCCGCCGTCGAGGAGGCCTTCCGCGCCGTTGAGCAGGCCTAGCCGCACCCAACATGCAACTTACGTACGCGGGAGGCCTTCCGGAGCGACCTTCAGCAGAGCGTTCTGGACCGCCCACGCTCGGTGGTCGGGGTCGCGAGGTGCTGCGCCATGGCTGTTGTTGGACGCGTTGGAGTTTTTTTATGCAAGTCTTTTTTTTCTGTGTTGAACGATGGAAAAGCGGCCTCACATGTGATTGGCCACACGCCAACGCGCAACGGAGGCGCGCAGCCTCTAAACACCGCTCGGCCTCTCCACTCGGCTCAGCCGTGAGAACGCGCGAACTCAGAATCGTCTCCGCGCGTCCACAGTTGTCGCGATCGCCCGGCGCGGCGGCATTGACATCCTTGACAATGAGGTGTCCAAACGGGCCACAGGCACAGCGTGAGCATCTCCCGGCCGCACCCTCGTCCTTCTCCGCGCCCTCGTTGCGAACGCTGGCGGCACCCGCGCTGCGCGACGAAGTCAGAAAAAAGAAATCACGCTGTATTTGCCGCCGCCGCCAAGACGTCGAGGAGCCGGTCATGCCCACCCCGCCCTCACGCGCCACGGCCGCGCTCCGCACGCCGCCGCCGCCGTCTGCTGGCGGCGGGCCGGGTGATGGATTCCCAAAGAACGTCTTGAAGGCGGCTGCGGACGGCTGCGTGGGACCGGTGCGCTCGTGGCTGAATGAAGGCGGGAAGGCGGACACGCTCTTCAACGCTGAGTCTCAGTACGGCCAGGTTCCATGCACCCTGCTCATCTTCTCCGCGAAGGCCGGGCACGCGCAGATTGTCGAGCTCCTCCTGAAGCGTGGCGCAGACATCAACCTGCAGAACGGTCGCGCCAACACAGCGCTGAACACTGCCGCCTACTACGGCCACGAGCGGGTGGTGGACGTGCTGCTGCAGCACGGAGCGGAGATAGACTCGCAAGATTTGGCCTGGCCGGCACTGGCAGCGGCGGCGCAGGGAGGGCAAGAGCGGATGGTCGACCTGCTGCTGCGGCGTGGCGCGGAGATCGACCTGCAAGACCGCAACGGCTGCACCGCGCTACTGCTCGCCGCCTACTTCAACCACCCCTCCGTAGTGCTGCGACTGCTGCGGGCGGGCGCAGACATGACGTTGCGCGACGAGGACGGCAAGACGGCGCTGCAGTGGGCCAAGGAGAAGGGCCACGCCGAGTGCGTTGAGGCGTTCAGGACGTATCTCGGGGAGGTGGCTGCGGTCCGGAGCAAGGCGCCGTCGGCCGAAGCAGGCGGCGCCGGCGCGGCGGTGGGTGCGAGAGCCGCGGCCTCCGCTTCGAGCGGCGAGGGCGGCGAGGAGGCCGAGCCGGGCAGCGGGGCGGTGCCAGAGGAGGTTGTGCTAGCCGTTGGGCTAGGCGATGAGGAGGCGGCGCTGGCGTGGCTTGACGGCGGCGGGCGGGTCAACGCGACGTTCGGGTACGTTTTTTCGGGCGGCCCTGTGAGCGGCATGACGCTGCTGATGATCGCAACGATGAAGGGCCACGAGGGGCTGGCCAAGGCGCTGCTCCAGCGCGGGGCGGATGTATCGTTGCATACCAGCAAGGGCATCACCGCGCTGCGTCTCGCCGTCTTGAACGGCCATGAGAAGCTGGTCGAGTTGGCGCTGCGGCACGGCGCGGTGGTCGACCAGGGATACGAGTTTGGCGGCACCGCGCTGATGGGCGCCGCCGGCAAAGGCCACGAGAAAGTGGTCGACTCGCTGATCAGGCACGGCGCAGCGATCGACCTTCAGTGCAACAAAGGCAACACCGCACTGATTCAGGCCGCTTTCCACGGCCAGTCCGCCGCCCTTCTCTGCCTGCTGCGGGCGGGCGCAGATGTGACGGTGTGCACAACGGTGGGCGGGACCGCGCTGCAGTTTGCCAAGCACAAGGGCCACGCCGAGTGCGTGCGCGCCCTCGAGGAGCACGCAGCGGCCGAGAAGGCGGCGGAGAAGGCGGCGGCGGAGGCGGCGTGGGCCGCGGGAGCGGCGGAGAGGGCGGCGCAGAGGGCGGCGGAGGAGAAGGAGGCGGCGCGGCACGCCGAGGAGCTGCTGGCGGAGGTCGAGGCGGAGACGCGCGTTAAGGGCAAGAAGGGCAAGAAGAAGAAGAAGAAGGGCGGCGGGGCGGGCGGGGCTGCGGGGCCGTCGCAGGAGTCCGAGGCGCCAGCGGAGGGTGCCGAGGCGCCGTCGGAGGCAGCCGCAGCCGAGGCGGCGAAGAAGGCCGAGGAGGCGAGGCTTCTCCTGCTTCTCGAGACGCTCACCGAAGAGAGGATGCGGCTCGGCATCACGGCGGAGAGCCAGGCGGCGGCGTCGGCAGAGGTGGCCGAGGCGGCGCGCTTGGACGCTGCGGCGGACGAGGCGGAGGAGGAGGCGGACGAGGAGGAGGAGGCCGAGGCGGCGGCCGAGGCGGCGGAGGCGGATGCCGAGGTAGCGCTGGTGGCGGCTCAGGCGGCGTTTGAGGAGGCGAGAGCCGCCACAAAGATGAGGCGTGCTGCTGCCGTCGCTGCGAGGGCCAGGGCAGCCGCCGCCAGGATGGCGGCAGAGGCGGCCCAGCGCTCATAGCGTGAGCTGCTCAGAAGAAGCGCGAGGCCACTATCCTGCGGATTGTCTGGGTGGAGCTTGGGAGCTTCCGTCGAGGACGCGCTCGCCGGAGGGTCATCATGCTTGAATCATGCACTGAGATGGGGCGGGCGGCGGGGCGTGCTCGGAGGGCAGGCGGGGAACGTGGCCGGGTGGGGTGGCCCGGGAAGCGTAGGCCCGCGTAGCGGGATCGACCTGTGGCGCTTTCAAACTACACAGTGACCAATTGCTCACAGATCACAGATCACATAAAATTGCGGCACTTGGAGCACTTGGAGTGCAGTCGGTCCGCCCTCGGAGATTAAATAAATAAACAACGCAGACATCTCCTGGAGAAGAGGATGCCGCAAAGAAAAAGAAAACAGAAAAGCCAAGGGAGGGACCGCCACCACACAGGGATTTTAAGGAGAGGAGTGTGGTGCTAGCCGTCGCCCACCCTGACCCTTGGTCGTCTGCCTCTTTCTATCTCCCTTCGCAGTCCCTCGCCGCTTCTCGCTGCAACCTTCATGCCACCTCGCGGTCGTCCCACTCTCGTCGTTTTCCCTCCTGTCGCGGTTTCCTCCGTGCAAGCCCCGCCCGGCTGGCGAGTGGGCTTGGGGGCGTGCCGCCCTGCTTGCTCTAGGTGAAACGTCTAAAGGACGAAGAAGCACGAGGGTGCGACCAACTCCGCACGACGGGCGGAGAAGACGGGCACTAGACCAGGGAGGACTGGGAGAGTAGTGTGAATGGAGGGGGACACGTGTGGTTCAGACGTCTCCTCTGTCGCGTCGTTCTCGTCTGCCTCGTCCTGCGACGCCGCCCCCGCCTTCCGATCCCTTGCTCTCGCGGCTTCTCCCGCCTTTCGGCGCAACTCGAGAGCGCTTTCTTTTGGGGCAGCCGTTGTAAAATTGGGCACACACGTCTGAACCACAGCGTGTCCCGACTCGACTGCCGGCGTCCCAGTCCGGGGGTGTTTCTCTTCTTATCCGTTACCATGTAGAGCAACGCCGAGGGCGGGCCCTTTTCGGGCTCGGGCCGCCCTCTCGCCCGCACCTCTGCGGGGCTCGCACGTGGTAGCGGCGGTCTGCTCACGACAGTGAGTGGGCTCTTCACGCTATCCACTGCGCCGCGGCTACGCCGCGCCCATCCAAGCCCAGGGCTTGGTCTGCTGATACCCGCTTCTCGCTCAGCGCATCTCTGAGGCTTCCCGCGCGCCGACTGCTACGCGCGCGGCGAGAGGAGCACCCCATCGGGGACAGGATTGAGGCCCCTGTACATGCTCGGCAACGCCGCCGTCGCTGCCCTCCCGAGTCCTCAACATGATGCCGCACATGCGCAACCCATTCTGCGCACACGCCGCAGGGAGGAGTTTTTCACTCCACCGACCGAGTTTCTCCTTCCTGCAGGGCGAGAGACATCAGCCTCTCTACTTCCAGGAGAACATCTACGCCACACGCTATCCCGACGGTCCACAACCCACACTGCAGTCGATCCAGCCCTCGCACTCCCCACTGGAGATCTAGCGAGGCCCCCCAGGCTGGGACAGGATTGGAGCCCCTGTGCTGCGTCTGTGGTGATATGTGGGGGACACTTTCTCCTCCCTATTCATGTCAGTGACTCGACTGCGTCGAGGGGGGGGACGTCTGAACCACAGCGTGTCCCGACTCGACTGCCGGCGTCCCAGTCCGGGGGTGTTTCTCTTCTTATCCGTTACCATGTAGAGCAACGCCGAGGGCGGGCCCTTTTCGGGCTCGGGCCGCCCTCTCGCCCGCACCTCTGCGGGGCTCGCACGACACACACACACACACACACACACACACACACACACACACACACACACACACAGAGAGAGAGAGAGAGAGAGAGAGAGAGAGAGAAGAAATAGACGAATTACGGCGCTCCACACCAGTTGGTCGGGGCACCCCGCTCGGTTTGAAGGCGTGCCACCTTCAGGCTGACCGAATGGCTCCAAAGCGTAAAGGCAAGGCCCCAAGCGCTCCGACTGCGAAGGCGCCAAAAGCAGATCCGAGAGAGAAGCAGCCAACGGACAAGCAGCTGTGCAACATCCTCAAGTGCTTCGTGCGGATCGCGGGGGGTGGCGGTGCCGCCTATTTTCCGGACTCTGTGCATAACTCCAAGGGCTTCTCGTCGGCGTCCGTGGCCCCTCTCTCCACATCAGACGGCGTGACGCTCAAGCTCGGTAAGAGCGCCAAGGAGTTTCTCGCATCGCTTCCCCTGACCGACAGCTCAAGCTATTGCGAGCTCTGTGCCGACTACGCAAGCGCCGTGGTGAGCGCCCGGCTCCAGTACGGCGATTTCAACCTCAACGACGGCGAGTGCCGCTGGCAGCCGGTCCGCTTTAGAAGGCCTTCGAGGCGTAGTGAAGGCCTTCTAAAGCCTAGCGCACAGTGCAGCTCTCATAGGTCTGAGCAGGCGGCCACGTTGCTGCAGGTGGGAGTGCACTTCCTCCCCCTCCTCGTGTACGTCGAGACCGAGGCCCTCGCAAAGCAGTGGCTCGAGGTGTTCTTTGACTCGGCCGAGTGCGACCCCGAGGATGTCGGTGTGGGCGGCTGCGTCGAGAATGACAGCGAGTGCTGCGTCATCAAGGACTACCTCGCCGAGCTCTCCCCGAAGCCCTCGTCGTTCGCGGACTATGTGAAGGCGAGGGAGAAGCTGGCGCGTGCGGCGCGCCAGCTGCAGTCGTAAGTGTCGCACACGCCCGAAGCCCTCTCGCTCCGCACACCACTCTGAGTGCCAGCATGGAGGTTGGAGCATGCCGTCTTGCGAGTGGTGTGGCCCTGGAGGCTGGAGGGTTGGTGGGTTGCGCGTGACCGTCTTGCGTGGGACGGATGTCCCAGCGGTCTGCAAAGGAGGGCAGTTTGTTGTTAGGCGAGCACTGTTAGAGGATTCCGACTCGAGATTGACCCGAGATCGAACCGAGACCGAACCGAGACAGACCCGAGATCGACCCGAGATCGACCCGAGATCGATCGGCACGAGCGATCAACCCAACAATGCCCCAGAGCCCCCGGCGGCTGTGCCGACTTTCTTTTTTGGCACAGTGTCAGTGAAGCCCGCGGACTTATCACCCACTGGCCCCGCATGAGCCGTCGTGGTCGCGGACTTAGTGGCATATATGGACGAGGATGCGGCGCTCGCGGAGCTCTGCGTGCTCACTGGTCTCGAGCCCTCCTCGGCGCGGCAATTGCTCGCAGCCGCCGGCAACGTCGAGCTGGCGGCAAGCCTGTACTTTGACGGCAGTCCAGGCGCTGTGTCCGATGCGTCCGACGGTGAAGGAGCAATCTTTCAGATCGACGACTTGGAAGCGCCCTCAATCGAGGAGGCGAGTGTGCGCCAGAACGTGCCGCAGCACGGCCGCGCGGGCCGCGGTCGCCGGCGGCGCGGCCGCGGCAGCGCTTGCGAGTGGGATGGGGAGGGCCTCGATCCACTCGACCTCTTTGCGGAGACGGACGAGACGCTGCTGATAGACAGCAGTCGAACCGCGGGCGGGCGCCGCCGTCGTAACTCACGGCGCGCCGGTGACTCTTCGGACGGGGAGGAGCTGCCGTCGGGAGGCCGCGCAAAGGGCAAAGGCAAAGCCAAGGCGGCGGCGGCGGCGGGCGTGCAGAGCTCCTCAGCCACGAGTGACGCGATACCCGTTCCGGTGCAAGTTTTGGCGGCCCTCGTGCCCACCACCGTGGGCGCTCCTCACACGCGTCCCGCCTGCGTCAGGCGGCAGGCCGGCGGCGCGAGAAGAAGGCGCTGCAGAGCAGCCGGCGCAGGGAGGAGGGCCTGCCACGAGCGGGGAGCTCTCCCCGCGAGGGAGTCGTCTCGCTGGGGGGCGGCTCGCTCTCCGACGGGAGCGACCGCAGCGAGCAACCGCGCAGCGGAGTGCAGTCGCACGCCGGCTGGAGCGCGCCCGCGTCTTCGTCGCCGTCGGGCAGGTCGTCGCGGCGCGGGGCGGCGCCGTCCGCCCTGCTCAGCACGGGCGAGCTGCGCGGCGCTGGGGTGCGCACCGTTGGCTTCGCGGCGGGGAGCGGCTCCCTCGACGCCCCGGCGGCGCCGGGACGCAGCGGCGGCGCAGCTTGCCAGGCGCCTTTTGCACGACGCCTCTCGGAACTTTCCTTAGGCGGCGCAGGGCAGCCGAGGCGGCGCTCGCTGCGGCCCCCGCGGCTCGGCCTCGGCCTCGCCCTCCGTGTCGCCTTTCCACACCCCGCTTGCGGCCGAGGCGAGCCCGCCGCCGCCCCTCGCCCTCGAGACGGCTCCTGCGCCGCCCCGCCGGCGCGGAGGCGGAGGCGAGGAGGGCAGCCGCTGCCGGGCCGAGCGCGCGATCTCGCGGCTTCTGTGGGACCCGACATACGACGCAGTGCGTGCGGGCCTGCTCGTCGAGTGGGACTCGCAGCAGGACCGCCGCTCCCGCCGCTCCGGCGCGGCCGCCTGGTCTGCGCGGGTGCAGACAGTGCGGTGCGGCACGCTAGATGGCGGAGAGACCGCACTGTCCCTTGTGCAGACTGCAGACAGTGCTGAGAGACGCCACATCCCTGTGTGATCTGGCCACGTGGTCTCTCAACCAAGCACTCGAGAGACGACGCCCTCCTCCGGCTGTGCTCCGGGGCCTCGCCCTGGTGGTCGCGTGCCCTCGTGTCCCCGCGGTGCTCTGACGGCAGCGTGCCTCTGACGGCAGCGTGCCTCTGACGGCAGCGTGCCTCTGACGGCAGCCTGCCTCCGTCCTCGAGGTGCGTCACGCCCCTCTCGCTCTTCCTGCAGCTGCAGTCGGGACGCGCCACAGAGGCGGCGGAAGAGGGGCTCCAGGCGGAGGCCAAGGGGGAGGCGGCGGAGGCGGCGGAGGCGGAGGAGGAGGGGGAGGAGGCGGAGGCGGAGGCGCAGGCGCAGGCGGAGGCGGAGGCGCAGGCGCACCACGAGGAGGGCGCGCCGAGCCGCCTTGCGACGCGCCCCGTCTCCATCCCGGGGACCCCCTCCACCCCGGGGAGTGGCTCGGCGCTGCGCCACTCATCCCTCCCGTCCAAAAGCAGCTTGAGGTCGTCGCCGACAAGCTACCCTTGCTCGGCGTCGCCCTCTACCTCGCTGCTGTGCGGCCGCTCTCCGGCCTTCTCCCCACTCTCCGATGCGGCGCCATGCGACGGCCGCGGCCGAGGCGCAGACAGCAGGGCCGGGCGCCCCCCCTTCCACCTGGTCACGGCGCTGCTCCTGCCGCCCGCGTCCTCCCCCGCCACTGCCGCCGCAGCGCACGCTGCTCTGTGGCACGTCGAGTGGAGGACAGACACGCCGCGCATGCCGCCGGCGCCCCCGCTCGACCAGGGCGGCGGCGCCGGCGCGCCGAGGGCGGCAGCCGACTCGGCGGAGGCGGTCGAGGGCGACGCGTGCGCGCCGACTCCCTTGCCGGAGCTGCCGCTCGACTTGTGGCCGATGGTGCTCGACGGGTGCCTCGGCCGCGAGCTCTGCGCCCTCGCGGCGACGTGCCGCGACTTGCACGCGGCGGTGGGCGCCTCGCACTCCTTGTGGGCGCGAGAGCACGGCCGCGTTCTCGGCGAGGCGCCGCCGCCCGACCTGAGCACGGCTGCGGTGCGCGCGGTGCTCCGCAGGGCGGAGGCGCGCATCGCTCCGTGGATGGCGCCGCCCCCCCTCGCTCTGCTGCAGTCGGGCGCCGCCGCCGCCGCCGCCGCCGACGGAGCCGGTGGCTTCGCTACTGCGCCGGGAGTGCGCGCGGCCAGGTACGACGGCGAGGGACTGCTGATCTCTGCCGACGGCGGCGCGGTGCGGCTGTGGTCGATGGAGCGGCGGCGGCGAATCTGCTCGCTCAAGAGCAGCCAGGGCAGGGAGGAGCTGCACGCAGGCTGCTCGCCCTCCCGCTCTTCGCCGCGCCGCGCAGCAGATCCACCCCCAGCAGTCGGTAGGATCCACTAGTTTGAGCGTGCCCCCCTCGATACCCCATCAACCACTTCGAGGAGACGATTTACTCGATGAGGGACAAGCTCAGCACCTCGCTCTCTGCCTTCTCAACGGAGGACGAGAAGTCCCCTCTCATGGCGCTATTGACCTCGCTCGAGGACTGGCTGTACGAGTACGGCATGGACGCGGAGAAGTCGGTCTACGACTCAAAGTACTCCGAAATCATGAACAAGTGCGGCCCGAT